CAAACATCAGGAATTTGAACAGACGCCACCAAGTCTGATAGGACTTTGAAAAATGAACTAGAAAATATCCAGCCACGAGCCCTGAGGGGCAGGTTCCCCGGAGATAAGAGTGACCACCTGCAAACCCTCCTGGACACAGATACAGAGTGGCCCTTGTGACACCCTGCTCAGAGACTTACCCAAGACTTACCACACATTGGTTGCAAATCTTATCTGGTCCCTGAGGCCTTAGAGCATGGGTCTCTCAAAGCCAGGGAGGAGGGGGCTGTTCATCACCCTCAAGTCTTCAAAGGCTCTGGGCAAGAAGAAACTGGTCATTTGGTTGGAGTACGTTGCAAAAAAGAGGCGGGAAGAGGAGTTTGGAGGGAGCTCTAGGCTAGGCAGGAGTAGGTCAGGGGTATTCAAATTTTGTTTGGAGGTTATAGGAGCACCCCAGCTGCAGGATTTTTAATTTCAGATTCATCTTAGCCATGGGGCTTGCATGCTGGGCACTTACAGGGCAGGTGGTGCAGGTGGTTTCTGACTAAGCCCCGGGCTGGGTGTTCAATGGTGCTCTGGAGTCCCCTGCCCCCACCTCTTGTGTCAGGCATCGTATGCGTATGCACCCTGTCTCCCAAGTTACAGGAGAGAATGTGTAACTAGAGGCTTTGACCCACATCTGCACGTTAGTTCCTGGCATCAAGGACCTTGGCTCTACAATTAGGACCTCTCAGGGCCTCAGAGACACTGGGCAGAGGTCCAGAGTGGTGAGGAAGGAGTTGTCATCCTGAAACACAGTAGGAGCCCCGATAGGGTTGGGCAGAGTCTAGGCCAGGCTGAGGGCCACCCTCAGTATCACAGACAGGCCCTGGAAATGAGGGGAGAAGAGCAGTGACTATCATTTGCTGAGCTATGGCTGCAGTGCCAGAAGCCTCTTCGTGGCCGGCAGATAGCATGTGGGTAGCCAGGCTCCAGGACAGTGGCGAGGAGACAGGCAGGGCTGTGGTCCAGCCCTCATATGCAACTGGGGCTATGCAGTGAGGTAGCCAGGGAAGATGGGAACAGTATCTATAGAGGACTCCTCATCTCTGACAGGTATCCATGTGCCCACCCACCCAGTTGCCACTCATCCAATGGATGAGAAAAAGGTGGGAAGGGCCAATGAGAGGCTGAACTGTTGCCCTTGAAGTCTTGGCTCAACTTAAAAAAAAAAAAAAAAAGGATAAATAAAATGTACCAGGTGTGGTGGCATATGCCTTTTGTTGTTTGGTTTTGTTTTTTAAGATTTATTTATTGGGGGCTGGAGAGATGGCTCAGCGGTTAAGAGCATTGCCTGCTCTTCCAAAGGTCCTGAGTTCAATTCCCAGCAACCACATGGCGGCTCACACCCATCTGTAATGGGGTCTGGTGCCCTCTTCTGGCCTGCAGGCATACACACAGACAGAATATTGTATACATAATAAATAAATGAATATAAAAAAAGAGTACATTTAAAAAAATATTTATTTATTTACTATGTTTACAGTATTCTGGGGTACCAGATCTCATTACAGATGGGTGTGAGCCATCATGTAGTTGTTGGGCATTGAACTCAGAACCTCCAGAAGAGTAGTCAGTGCTCTTAACCTCTGAGCCATCTCTCCAGCCCTGTTGCTCATTTGTTTTTGTCTTGTTTTGTTTTTGTTTGTTTGTTTTTGAGACAGGCTCTATGTAGTCCTTGACTCTCTTTGAATTCACTATGCAGACCAGGCTGTCCTCAAACTCACAGAGATCCACCTGTCTTTGCATCTGCACTACTATGCCAGGCTGGAGAAGGCCTTTAATCCCAACATTCGGGGAGCAGAAGCAGGCAGATGTCTGTGAGTTCAGGCCGGCCAGCCAGGGCTACATAGTGAGACTGTATCTCAAAAGAAGAGAGAAGTGCAGGGGGAGGAAGGAAGATAGAAAAAGAGTGAGAGGGAGAGAGAGAAGGAGAGAGGAAGAAAGCCAGAGAAAGAGAGCCTGGGTTCACATGGCAGCTCATACCTATCTGTAACTCTAGTTCCCGGGGATCTAACATCCTATGTGTAGACATATGTGCAGACAAAACAACAATGCTCATGAAATAAAATAAATTAATCATTTTTATTAAAAGAAGGAAATGGGAAAGTATAAAATGAGGCACACAGTGTGTGGTGTTCTGAGAACCTGTCCAGCGTGGCCTTGCACCTGTGTAAGTCACAGAGGCGGGACCCTGAGGGAGAGTCTGTTAGATTACACGCTGGGGTGTGATAACGCAAAGGCCCTGGAGGGAAGTCACGACATCCCACCAGCTTGAAAGCCTTAGGGATCTCAGCTGCCCTACAATTTTCTTTTTTTTTAAAAAAAAAGAAAAGAAAAGAAAAGAAAAAAAATTCTTATGTAATTTTAGCCAGGCAAGGCAGTGCATGTCTTGAAGTCCTGAAGCAGGTGAGGGGGGAAAGCAGGTGGGTCTCCGGGAGGCTGAGGCCAGCTGCCTCTACAGAGCAAGTATTACGTCAGTCAATGCTACAGAGTGAGACCTTTATTAAAAAGAAAAAAATATATTATTATTTTATGGGTTTTGGAGATTTTTTTTGGTTTGTTTGTCAGTTTGTTTGCTTGCCTTTTCAAGACAGAGTTTTTCTGTGTAGCCCTGGCTGTCCTGAAAGTCACTCTGTAGACCACGGTGGCCAGGAACTCAGAGATCTGCCTGTCTCTGCTGGGATTAAAGGTCTGCACCACCTCCTGGCAATTATATATTTTTAATTTGCGGATGGGTACCCTGTGTGAGTGTGAGGTCAGAAAAGTCTGAGAAACGTGTCGTGCCCCTTGGAGCTAGAGTTTCAGGCAATTGTGAGTTACCGATATGGGTGCCCAGAATAAAACGTGGGTCCTCTGAAGAGCAGAAAGATCTCTTACTGCTGAGCCATTTCCCCAAGCCCCTAAGTTTTTGTATTGCATCATGTGTGTGTTAGGAGGGAGCATGCGCATGCGCCATGCTGAGATTGTAGAGGTCAGTTCACTCCTCCTAGCACGTGGGTTCTGGGGCTTAAACTCGGGTCAGCGGACTTGACCCCAGACGCCTTTACTCTCTGAACCGTCTCACTGGCCCTGACTTTCACTTCCCATCCCCCAGTACTGGGGATTGAACCCAGGGCCTTGCATACACTCAGTAAGAATATTAGCCCTAAGCCACACGTCCCCACTCCCAGCGCTGGCTTTTTCTTCTCGCCTGCTTCCCTCTCACTGTTGTGTTTTTGTGGAGTTCTGAGTCTGAAGTGAGTGGCGTGTGTCCCAGCTTTCACAGCAATAGCCTGCTCCGTGGGCTCAGCTTCTCCTGGGAGCCCTGCATTCCCAGGGCAGTACTAACCTTTGATTGGCGGGTCACCACTCAGAAGACAGACAGGATCCAAGAAGGGACCTAGCACCCTAGCACCTACCCTCCCCTATCACCAGTTTGCTAAAATAAGATCATGGGTGGCTACCTCTGTTCCTGAGTGCTTCTGGAGAATCTAATTAAAAAAAGCAGGTTTTGTCCTGGCCGGGCCTCACACAGTAACGTTGGGGCTTTGGAGACCAGAAGCCAAAAGAAAGGCCTCTGAGGCAGCCGCTGGAAAGGGTGTCCATCCTTATGTCACCCACCATTCCCTGCAAGTTCCTTGGGGCCTGAAGAGGTCTCATTCTGGGGTCCAGTATTATGTTCCCTGATATTGACGAAGGAAGGGGCCCATTGAAGGAACCATAGCAGTCAGAACTAGATGCCCAATTGCCCTGGTGGATAGGAAAATATCAACAGAGATGTACCAGCCCCACACTGGGGAGAGCCATTGAGGTCTGGTCTCTATTAGTGAGTGGCCCTACTGCTTTCTTTGGTACCTCCTGCCTGCAGATGTATGTCAGAGTTCTAGCAAAGGCACCTGTATATGCCTATTGTTTGTATACATTGTCCCTCTGAATAAGAGAGATGATACATATCAGTGAACGTGGACATGATGGGAGAGGGGCATGGGCAGCTTGAATTGGCCTCGTCTGGCAGACTGGGGGCTCTCCCAAGACTCCCACTCTCACTCATGTCTGTCCAGGAGCCAGAACAGGGCAGGTATGGGACGGTGCTGATCTGGGGCAGTACCTCGACAGTCCGTGTGAACAGCTGATCGCATTTGCCTGCTGAACTTTCAGTGCAAGGTCCAGCCTAGGTCCATTTGCTCATGGGGTCCGAGTGGTAAAGAGAACCCTACTGAGACCAGGGGCTGGCTTGGGGGATGGGCCCGTGCTGAGTATGTAGGAGTTCTCGAATCTGAGGAGGGAAGGGTGTTCCGGTCTGGAGTCCTCGGCTAGCTCAGAGAAATTCCCTCCTCAGAGGAAGTGTTGGGCTGGGCACTAGAGGAGACTCTGAGATCTGAAAGACAAGTCCCCAGGTGCCTGTATTTTCCAGAGGGACAGGCTATACTGGAAGTATTGGGTTGTCCCATGGCTCATAACAAGGCACCAAGGGACAGTGAGTCTCTGGCAGGCAGAACGGTTTCCTACAGAATCATGCATCAGGGGCCTGAGACACAGAACCCAAACTCCCCAACCCTGGTAGGTCCTGCCCCTTAGGGAGTGGAGAAGGGTCTTTTGGAGGAAGAAAGGTGATTTATTAGAGATCACTTGGTGCCCAGCCTGTCCTGACTGACAAGGGTGCCCTGCCCCTGGTCTTAGGTCTCTAAAGCTGTCCTCAGGGACACCCACAAGCCTGCCTGACCCTGGGAACCTGGGAACCAGCTATACCATGAGCAAGGCCACTCTAACCCAGCACTGCAACTCTCCCCACCCCCCACCTCCCAGAGGCTGCAGGGCCTGCATGTTGGGGCAACTGTCAATCTGTAAAAATGCTTTAAGGGATCAAGTGTCTGGGACTGAGCACCTTTAGCAGGTGAGGTCTTAATGGGGCCAAAGAGACAAGGTGTGGGGGGGGGAGGTTGCTTCAGAGTATATCCCTGCAATTGTATGACCCAGGCTGTGTGTCGTCCCCCCACCAGGATCCAGTGTCCTGCCATAGTGGCTTTTGTGGTCACATTCCTAGGAGCTATCCTCAGCTTTACCTGTATCCCTGTCACCACCAAGGACACCAGTGTCCAGTCGGCCCATCAGGGTAAGCCCCACCTGCCCACATGGCCAGTGGATATACCACTTTGCCCCAGAAGTCAGTACCCAGCACCTCTACTGGGAATGGAAAGACTTTCCAGCCAAGGGGTTCAGGGGACACAGAGGAGATAAAGTCTCCTACCTACTTCTTGCTGCTGATTCCTTGTAGGTCAAACTGGGCACAGTTATGGGAGTCAGGCAAGCCAAGGCCCTTGAGCAGGGAAGCCCTACCAGGCAAGTTTACAAAAGTCAGGGAACACTCAGGGGACACAGGAGGCGTGAGGGCGGCTGCTAGTCTCTGAGGTGCCGAGTGTCCAGAGTCATGTGGTGTTACTGGCTTAGTGGGAGATCCCACTGAGGTGGCTGCAAATGTGGGCCAGCCTGGCTCTTCAGAAGGGTGCCTCTGTGCCTCTGCCCAGAGACTGAGATGGGGACTGACCTGGGAGACTGCTTGGGACTGGAAGCTGTGATACAGGGCCTCAGGGGACATTTAGGGACAGCTGAGAGTGTCCTAGGTGTCAAGGCATACCTCTCTGGCTTAGCTATCATTGCCTTCTGGCTGGGCCGGGAGCAACTATCCTTGTCAAAAAGATATAAGATCTAGGAACGTTCTAGCAGAGCTACCTGATGCCAGGTGCCTCTTCTCCTAATCATCCCCCCTCCCACCCTGCCTGGGATGCAGGGGTGTTGAGTTGGACAAAGTATCTTGAGGCTGTGGGGGGAGGGGGACAAAGCTGGCAGTCAGAGCCCCACAACCAGTGTTTTTGACTGATGTCCTGGGTGGCCAGGTGGATCCGATGCCGGTGTGTTTGACTTGAAGGCCATCACCCGCTTGCTGCTGCTGCCCAGAGTGTTGCCTGTATTCCTGGTCAAGGTAATCTCTGGCCTCCCTGCAGGTGAGTCTCACTACCTCATCTCCACCCATGTCCAGGGTCTGGGGTGGCTGAGAACCCAAGCCTTGGGGACCCAGATCTAGGTGATGTTTTACTCTGCCTGGAGTCCTTTATTGTCCAGTTACATCTGCGGGGGCTCCCAGCACACACTGTGGGTGCAGATTCAGGTTGTGTGCTAGCACACGGGTAGCTAGTGTCCTCCTTGCCGGGCTCTGGATCCTCTTGTGGGTCGCCACCTGGCACACAGCCCACAGATTCTCGCTAACCTTTATGTCTCCGCACCCAGACCTGGCTTCCAGAAGTGCCATATAGGCCTGAGAGGCAGCCAGACTCTGGAGCCTCTTGCTCTGGCCATCTGGTGAAGGAACACAGGATCTTTTTACCCAGTCTGCCCAACTTTGAATGTACCATCATGACCCTGTCATTCAGACCGCTGCAGTCTGAAGGTTTTTGTTTGTGGTGCTGGGAATAGAACCCAGGGCCTTACAAAAGCCAGGCAACAGCCCTACCACTGATCCCACTATGGGCTCAAAGGTATTAGAGCCCCAAAGGTTTGGCTCTTTCCTGACCCTGAAGCTCTGTGGCTGTGTAACACCAGACTGAAGCCCCTAGCAGTGGTGATGGGGCCACAAGGAAGCTGCCCCACCTGCCAGCTGGGACCAGGTCCACCAATCCAGGCTGCAATGTTTCAGTTACAGTGATTGGAACTTGAAACTCACCCCGTCACACACACCTAAGTGGCAGGAGCCTCTGAGAGCTCCCATGATGCCCTGGGTTCTCAGCTTGGCACCTTATAGCTCACAGAGACTACTTAAGAGCAGCCCCCAGGGAGTCAACTGCTACAGAATCCCAGATGGTGTCAAATGCAAGTCCCCTGCCTAGGACCCAGGAGGGAGGTATATGCTGCACTGGGACCTGACACCATAACTGACCTGCTCCTCTGCCCAGGCCTCTTCCTGGTAATGTTCTCCATCATCTCCATGGACTTCTTCCAGCTGGAGGCGGCAGAGGCCGGCTATCTCATGTCCTTCATCGGGATCCTCCAGATGGTGAGTGGAGCATGAGCAGAGAGTGCCACGGGGCAGAGAGCATTAGTCTCTGGGAGCCCTGCCTCCAGGGTGTGGGGCTCTCTCATTTTGGGAGCCAGGATTTCTCTGTGTAGCCCTGGCTATCCTGGAACTCACTCTGTCAACCAAGCTGGTCTCAAACTCAGAGCTCTGCCTGCCTCTGCCTCCTGCATGCTAGGATTAAAAGCATGAGCCACCACCATCTGGCTAGCAGACCATGTCTCTTAAGGTCCCCTCAAGAGAGACTCCTATGATGGCCCTGATACCCGACTATCACCCAGAGCTATTCTAGGATGCTAGTCATTCAGCGGGCACTGAATAGGGGCAGTACAGACCTCCTAGGGTACCAAAGAAAATTCTGAGTAAGAGGGAGAGACACTATGAAAGGGGGAGGAGGAGGACACAGGCCTAAGGAAATAGAAAGGAATGAAGGAGTGACTGGGATTAGGGTGAGGGGTGTGATCTCCATGGCGACAAAGACCTGGTAGGTCCACACCAGGCAATATTGGCATTTACAGGGAAGGGTGGCCTGCTGGTTCAAGGGGAGTGGTAGGGAGTATTAGTAAAAGAGGAGAGACTTAGGTTTTTGCTGCTAGGCAGAGGGACAGCAGCAGGGACTGCCTTGGTTAGGTGACCCTATGGGAAGGCAGAGGGTACTATTGGGAAGCCTGAGGGAAAGTGGCCTTCTTGACTGGTTGACTGTTTTGTCAGATAACGGTGAGACCTGCATGGCGTCTAGAAGCTTATTTTCAATTTAATGGGGAAGTCGAGGCTGGGGCGGTTAGTCTGGATGGAGGTCCAAGTGGCTGAAGCCAGGATTAAATGCTTCCATAAAACCAGTCTAGAGAGGATTTGTTTTTCTAAGACATTGATGGTTCTCTAGGACGCACCAGTGTTCTGCCAGGCATAGTGGGGGTTGTGGATGAACCGGTTTGGGCTCTGCAAGCCTGAGTCCAACCCCCATGAACCCTGACAATCCCTGGCCCCAGTAGCCTGACAGCTCCTTGCTCAGACTCTACACGGTCCTGGCCTTTGGTCTCACACACTTCCTTCCTGGTAGAGACCGGTACTTCCTATCTGAGAGACGAGATAGTGAGCCTCACCCTGGGTTGCCTGGGCTGTTGAGTCATGTCTCTGGTGTCCCTGAGTGTCCCTGGCATGGATTCTCTTTCCCTTTTTGCTGAGAAGGTCATAGGAGGCATTGCCCTATGACCTTGTGACTTTCTAGGAGCCAGGTGACTCACATCTCTGGTTGTAGTCCCTGCTGGGGGTAGGGTACTCTCAAGGGATGCAGACGGTGAGGGGCTACCAGCCACCAAGAGGTCCTCGTACCTTGAAAATACCTTGAAGGTATTTTCAGAATTGTCAGGGTCAGGGCTTAGGTCCCAGAGCCCTAACAATCTTGGCTCAGTCAGCCGCTCATCCTCAAAAGGTCAACTAAAGAGACAGGTAACCATGAAAAGCAGAGAGGAGAGTCATTCAGTGCAGCCACACTGGGAAGAGGGACAAAGAGGTCCAGAGACTCCCGAGTCTGTCCTGGGGGTCCGGACATGAGGTTCAGGGTTAAATAGGGGGCAGGAGGTGTGCATAGCTAAGCAGTCCTGGTCAGGGTGTGAACCTGCCCGTCACTGACCCATCACTGTCAGCTCCAGGCTCTCCTGCAAGGCGGTCTGACAAGTTCTCAGAACTCCATGAGATCTCTCTGGGAGACAGGCTCCCCCTCTGGCTGGCACCAGGCTTCAGCCTTTCCCTTCCCCAGCGTGAGACTCCTGGGGGAATTCCAATGTCTTGGGTCCATTGTTTCAAAATTCTGATGGCCAGACAGAGGCTCCCAAGTGTCTCTTTAGAATGCCTTCTCGCCGGGCAATGGTGGCTCATGCCTTTAATCCCAGCACTCGGGAGGCAGAGGCAGGCGGATCTCTGTGAGTTCAAGACCAGCCTGGTCTACAGAGCTAATTCCAGGACAGGCTCCCAAAGCCACAGAGAAACCCTGTCTCAAAAAACTAAAAAAAAAAACAAAAAACAAAAGAATGCCTTCTCTCCTGACGGAACACTTTCGAAAGGGCAGAAGGGCAAAAGTGGTCTAGACCAGTGGTTCTCAACCTTCCTAATGCTGCAACCCTTTAATACAGTTCCTTAACAAAAAAAAAACAAAACAAAACAAAACAAAACAAAAAGCCTGGCGGTTGTGACCCACACCTTTAATACCACCATTTGGGAGGCAGAGGCAGGTGGATCTCTGAGTTCGAGGCCAGCCTGGTCTACATAGCAAGTCCCAGGACAGGACAGCCAGGGCTACACAGATGAACCTTGTCTCCAAAAACAAAACAATCCAAAAGACAAAAGACAAAAAAACAAACTAAAAAGTACAGTTTCTCACGTTTAGGTGACCTCCACAGCTACAATATTTTTGTTGCTACTTTATAACTGTAATTTTGTTACTGTTGTGAATCATAAATATCTGTGTTTTCTGATGACCTTAGGCAACCCCTGTGAAAAGGTCATTTGACCCCAAAAAGGTTTCAACCCACCTGTTGAGAACAACTGGTCTAGACTGCCTTCTCTGCCTCCTTGCCGCCCTTCCTAGGTGATCCAAGGCCTGGTCATTGGAAGACTGAGCACCCGTTTCCCGGAAGAAGCCCTGCTGCAATCCAGTGTGCTGGTCTATGCTCTTGTGGGACTGGGCATGGTGAGCGCATGCACGCACACACACACACATGCCCGCTCTGTGAACGAGTCTCAGGCCATCCTCCATCCATGTCTTGTGTGTGCCTAAGTCCCTGGCCTGCCTTAGGCCACATTGCACTCTCTCCTCCCCAACTAAGGCATCTTCCATGGTGGAGTGTTATGGGTGGGACCTCAGGGTGGGTTGCCACCTGGCTTTGGAACTTCTCTGCTCAGCACAGCCCTGCCCATTGCCCTGCTAGGCGCTGATGTCCAATGTTCTCCACTTCTGTCTTCTGGTGCCTGGCCTGGTATTCAGTCTCTGTACCCTCAATGTGGTCACCGACAGCATGTTGACCAAGGCTGTGTCCGCTTCAGACACAGGTGAGCTGTACACAGGGGCCCCAGGAGTCAGGGTTCCTCCCAGCGGCCTGGGCCAGAGAAGGGAGAAGGCAAGTGACAAGGAAGAAGAGCCCAAGTAAAGACCCCGTCCCTTCCTAACCCTTCTGACAAGCACAGAGTCAGGCAAGGGCACACGTGGAGGACTTCTTGGAGAGGCATTTGTCTCAACTCTGATCCGTGCCAGAATTTCACTAAAAATTAGAGGAGGGACCAGAGACTTTGTCTAGGCAGAGGCCAGAGGAGCAAAGATGTGGACCTTGAAGGGCTTAGAGAGCCACTTAGAAAGACAGCTAGCTGGTGGCTGGAGTGGTGAAGAGGCCAGAGAAGAACAGCGCAGGAGACTTTCCCCATCCCTGACAACAGTGCTCAGAGCTTTCTGAATGGAGTCTTTGAATCCACGCAGCTAGGGAAATCTGGGCCTGGCCTCCAAGCCCATCTAGGGTGCTCACTCCCTGCTGCCAGGACGGCAGCTCCAAAGGGCTGGGCCAGGAAGTCACTCTGGAAGGAGGAAAAGGGGTGTTGAGGCCAGGCAAGTGGAGGGTGGGGCTGGCCAGGAGGAGCAGGCCCAGCCACCAAGGCCGAGTCATGCCTGTAGTACCACCCCTGAGCTTGGAAAGAGCAGAGCCTGGTTCGCCTGGGAACAGGAGCCCGCAGAGGGGGCGGTAATTGCCCGGTGTCAGTTAGTGTCTGCAGGCGTGTGGGCAGGGAGAGAGGCTTCGCCTGAGTTTCCCCACAGCCGGCCCTGGGTGTGGGCGGGGCCTGCAGGCCCCTGTCTTGGCCCAGTTTTTTAAAAGCCTGGTCTCAGAAGACCCTGGCCAGTGAGTAGCAAAGCTTGGTCAGTCGGTCGCTTTCTGGAGGAGAATGGGACAAAGTATGACTCCCACCTGGGGATGGTTCTCCACTTGAAGTCATTTTTAACAAGGTCCTATGCAGGCATGTCTACAGTAAGACAACTGACCAGAGACGTGGAAATAGGGGCTCACATACTCAGGCAAGGACACTGGTAGCCCCTAGAGCCCTGGCCCTGACCCCTGAGATCCATTGAATCTACAGGAGGATGGTGGAGAAACAGAAGAGAAAGGGCCATATAAGAGGCACTAGGGACACCATACCCGACCAGAATGCCAGCCCTACAGTCCTACATGTGGCTGGGATACCAGATCCTCCCTAGTCAAATCCACACTAGCTATCTCAGTCACCATTTGGGGAGAGTGTGGAGTCCAGCACCCTGGATGTCCTGGGTGGAGCCCAGCGCGAGCAGATCACATCTACACTCACAGGTCTGGGACAGTGGAGCCTATTCCCGACCAGTGACCTCTTTCCCAGAGTCCTCCCTTGCCTGGGAAATTTCTAGAAAAGAGGCTCAGTCCCATCTACACAGGGAAACTGACCCTGTGGGTGGAGGGTACTGTGCTTAATTGGGGGGGGGGGGGTTGCTGCAAGCCATCCATGAACAATGGGCAGAAGGCTGGGCTATGGCCAGAAGGTAGGCGGCCTGTCCAGAGACCTGCCCAGGATCTGACTGCTAGTCCCCCTTTCTCCCAGGGACCATGCTGGGCCTCTCTGCATCCGTGCATCCACTAACTCGCACCGTAGGACCCACCCTGGGGGGCCTGATGTACCGCAGCTATGGTGTCTCCATCTTTGGCCACGTGCAGCTCATGGTAAATTTGCTCGTCCTATTGGTTCTCTGGAGGAAGCCATTGTCCCAGAAGAAAGACAAAGTCCGGTGACCACAGAGCCCAGTGACCTGACCCAGTCAGGCAATAATAAACTTCTGAACTTCTTCCTCCTGAGTTCTTTGGGCTTTGCCTAGATCTGTGGGTAGAAAGTCTGGGGGTCCAGGATGGAGCCAAGCCAGGTGGCTCTCTGGAAGAGGAACTAGAGCTGGACCCACGGCTCTGGAGAGCACAAACTTCCCAAGTCAGTTCCAGGTCATTAATCCAGCTCCTCTGTCCACTAACACAACCACCGAGGAGTCCTCCAGAAACAGCCCAGACACAGGGTGCTCCCCATCGCCTGGCGCACCGTGTGCTGGGATCTGAAGCAGGTTGGTTTAAAAGACAGGAACCAGTTTTGGTGGTGCATGTCTTTTTTTTTTTTTTTTTTTTTTTTTTTGGTTTTTCGAGACTGGGTTTCTCTGTGGCTTTGGAGCCTGTCCTGGAACTAGCTCTGTAGACCAGACTGGTCTCGAATTCACAGAGATCCGCCTGCCTCTGCCTCCCGAATGCTGGGATTAAAGGCATGCACCACCATGGTGGTGCATGTCTTTAATCCATCTGGCATTCAGGAGGCAGAGGCAGACAGATCTGAGTTGAAGGTCAGCCTGGTCTATAAACTGAGTAACTAGTTCCAAACAATCTAGGGCTACATCGTGAGACCTTGTCTGTAAAAGGAGGAGGAGGACAAAGGGAATTAGGCTTGGGAGGGAACAGCTGGGAACCAAGAACATACCCCAGCCTCCCCTGCTTTAAAGCTGTACCAGGGACACTGGCCTGGCCCATCTCCCCACAGACCTCACCGATGACAGGAACTAGGTTCCCCCTACTGAAACCAAGCAGTCATCTACTGTGAACTTCTTTGAAAGAAGCTGTTAAAACGTAGACTCTTGGCTGAAGAGATGGCTCAGCACTTAGGAACACTTGCTGCCCTTGCAGAGGACCCCTTCAATTCATTGCATCCATGTGAAGGTTAACAACCATCATCACTCTAGTTCCAAGGGCTCTGATGTTCTTTTCTGACTTCCATGGGCTCCAGGCACACATGTGGCGCACATACATACGTGCAGAGGAAAGACATAAAACTTCAACCCTGCTGGGCATGGTGGTGCAGGCCTTTCAATCCCAGCAGGTGAAGCTCAAGGCCAGCCTGTTCTACAAAGTGAATTCCAGGCCAGACAGGGATGCACAGAGAAACCCTGTCTCAAAACAAGTAACTAAAACCCCCAAAACAAAAACACAAACAACCAAACAAACCTTAGAATCCTTAAACCTCAGAATTCCACAGTCTGCCCACACTCCGCCTACCACCTTAGGATACTGTGTCCATTTAAACCCTACCAGGAACAGGGGGCTCAACCCCTGAGCTGTGTCATTTGACCTTGTGAGGATCAGTGGAGGGAGGAGGTCCTTAAAGGAATGGGACAGAAGGGTCCCAGGCCCCTGCTGATCACTCTGCTCCTAGAAAAGCTCCTCCCCTGTTTTCTTTAAGAGAAAATTCCTTGTAAGGAAAAACAGCTCTAGCACCCAAGACTTCCTAAGGAGAAAGGGGAGCCCCTCCCAGTCCTGACTTCCAAGGCTAAGCTGGGAGACATGTGACACCTCCGTCTTCATGGCATTCCCACAGCCAGAGAGGGAGGCCCAGGACCCCTTGGGCAGGGACTCAGTGTCTGTCACTCTGCCTAGTGTAGCCTTGTGCCTTTCTGGGCTTGTCCTCCAGTAAAACCTTCGGGAGGGATCCACCTCTGTCTCGGGCTCTGTGGCCTGCCTGCCTGCCTGTGAGCCTACCTGACACAGAGCCCCTCACAGAGAACACAGCCAGGTGAGGAGTGTGAATTGACACCTGGCAGATGGCTCAGGAAGTGGAGTAAAAGCATAGGTATCTGGTGAGCTCCCAGGCTTCTACACCAGTAAGGCAGCTCTGGGCCCCCGCTGCTCCATCGCTGGAGACAGCCAGGCCTGCCTCCCATTTGTGACAAAAAGATGTACACAGTATGCTAGCCCTGTTGCTAGACACTGGCCAGGAGGGCTGGGAGCTGGGCTCTCAAGCTCTGTGGTCCAGTGATGGGGGGCGGTTGTCAAACTGTCAACCATCAGTCCTTCACATCAGCTGCTGGACAGATGGTATGTGGGAGGGAGGGGACAATGAGGGCAGCCACCCTGGTGAACAGAGCGACTGCTCAGGTGTCCTGGTGCCAGTTAGTGAGTGAACTCTGAGCAAGCATGGCCACCAGCCCTATCCTCCCCAAGCCACACCCAGGAGTAAAAGGTATCCAGGCCACACCCAGAGTACTTCCTGACCTGGAGAGGCTGTGAACCCCACTTGGCAGGTGACAGTTCATTCAAAAGCAGTTTGAATGGTTCCTGGGATGTGTAGAGGGAACGACACAGGACGGGAGACCCTTTCACCCTCCCGCCCTTCCAAACTCCCGCCCCAGCAGGAACTACGCGGACCACGCAAGTTAAAAAAGAGAAATGGCATTGTTTATTTGGAGTGAAAATACAGTATAAAAAAATATTAAGGCGGAAATATTAAGACGGTGGATTGACAGTTGACGACCATCAAAATAAATATTGTCCAATAAGTTAGCACGCCCCGCACAGCGGGGCGAGGCTCAGCAAGTACGGGAGAATCTTCGGAGAGGAGCAGCGGCGTCGCCCGGGGCATCTGCTGGGATCCTGTTTGACGCGGCCGCGTGGGCTGGTTCCCGGCTCGACTGGTCCCGTGTGTCTCTGTGGAGAGAAGACTGAGTCAGTAGCTGTCCTAGAGCAGATCCGGGTGCATCCTATAAGCCTCCAAGTGGGGTGAGAGACCTGCCTTCCGTCCCAGGTCCCCTCTCCTAGACGTCTTCAAGAATTAGAATCCCCGAGTCCTCGTCGTAGTCGTCGTCGTAGTCCCCTCCCCCCGTCCCGTAGCTTTTGAAATTGAAGTTTTCCCCCCATTGGGCAGCATGACCCGCATCCACACACCCCCATACCCCCGTACACGGACAGCGCGGACGAGGGCGGCACTCACCACGGACTCAGGGCGCGCTGCTCTTCGGATTCCGGCTGCTCTTCCGACGCGACGCGCTGAAAACGGTGGCGGCGGAAGCCTTCCAAAGCCCGGCGGTTCTGGTAGTCGATCAGCGCCAGGGTGATGAACGCGTTCCAGGAGCTCTTACCGGTGCAGCGGAAGTCGATCTCCTTGAAGTTGGTGGTGACGATGGTGAAGTACACGTACTTGTTGGTGTGCTCCACGCAGTCCACCTTGAGGATGGAGCTGAAGCGCAGCTCTTTGACGCGGTCGCTGCTCCCGGAGTAGAGGCTCAGGCGGTCTTCGGTGAGCACGCCGCGCTTCTTCTTCCACAGCTGGAACAGGCTGTCACTTCGCTTCTCCAGCTCTCCTTCGCAAAGTATCTCTCCGGAGCCCTTCATGATTTTCGAAGCCATTGGGAAAAGGATGTGGATGTACCAAATGCGCTCGCTCTGCCGCCCGCCGAAGCAAGGGCCTTATAAGGACTCCGCCCCACGTCCTAGACCCGCCCCGGAGCCGGGCACTCTCCTGCCCAGGCGGAATCCCGGAGCTGCCCCCCACCCCCCGCACCGGGCTGCCCCTTACCCACTGCCTGGGGCTGCAGCTTATCGGAGGCTAGAGGGGGCGGGGGCTACTCTGCACCTCTCTGACGGGCGCCCCAAGCCTCCCCTCCAGCCCCAACGTCCAGCTGCCTGCTGAAGTCCCCTCCCGGCCCGGGTGTCGGCCCCGCCTGCCTAGGAATGTGCCGCAGCGGCCCCTGAGCGCCACGGCTCACAGGCCGAAAAGACCCAGGAAGCTCCCGACTCCTAGACCGGACCAGGGAGCCCAGAACCACACTCACTGAGAGACCCAGAGCTCCTGGTTCACGAAGGTCACGGACCCACGGGTTTTTTTCCCGGCCCTGGCAGCTGTCTCCTCCCAGTTTGGGCACACATCCAAAGGCCACCCACTAGACCTTCTTGGGAAGTGGCTCTGCCCCAACGGGCTTTGTTGGCCATAATACTCCCCGAAGTTGTGCCTCGAAGGAATTCTCTGAGTTTCTTTTCCCTTCTGTAAAATGGGACAATGGCCTTTATCAAGTTAGGCAGTGCGAAACGGGGAAGGAGCACCCTGCAATGCTCAGCCATGTGAACAGAGAGGCCTGCCTCCTTCCTGGGGCCCTTGTGTGCCCCAACCCGGGCGGCAGACACCTCGGGTTCCGGCCCTACAACCCCAGACCTGCAGGAAACTCTGGGGGGGCTAGCAAAGCTGGTCTGGAGAATGTGGGGACCGACAGACCTAGGCCAGGGGCGGCGGGGGTGGCTGAGTCATCCCTTTCAGTGCGCGGTTTTATTTACCCTCTGCCTTTAAAGGTTTAATAACAGCAGGAAGCGGACGCTGCTCCTCCAAGGTTCCCAGGCATGAGGGAGGGGTTGGCCAAGGGACCCCCCACGAGTCCCCCACTGGTGTGGGATGGGGGCAGGGTGCTGGGGTGGGGGTCTTGGGTGGGATGGGGAGCAGGGGTGCTTCAAGGAAACACCCCTAGCTGTTGGAGAACTAGACTACGTGCAGGCCTGCTGGCTCCCAGTGAAAACGCAGGCCTGCCCACTTAGAACTTGAAATTAAGACTGACAGCCTAAAACCGCAGTTCTGTGGCCTGGTCTGAGTCTGACGCAGGTATAGCCCGCAATGAGAAGGCTGAGGCAAGAAGGCCCAATCTAGGTCAGTCTTTGTTTTATAGTGAGTTCAAGACTACCCAGAGCCACATAGCAAAAGAAATGAAATAAGGGGCCTGGGGAGATGGCTCAGCAGTATGAGTGCTTGCTGTTCCTTCAGAGGACCTAAATTTGGTTCCTGCTTCCAGCTGGGTGGATCACAACCATCCATCCATCTCCAGGGAACATGTCACCCTCTCCTGACCCCTCCTCCCCGCAGAACACTCAGACACATATACATTAAAATAAAAATAAATCTTATTTAAAAAAAAAAACACCTTGGGACTGGCCCAGTAGGTCAGGGGTTAATGTTGCATTTTCAGAGACCCGGGGTTGGTTTGCCAGCATCCACAGAGTGGCTT